TGGCATATGCTGTACATTTTTTTGACCTGGCTCTAGGAATTGACGAACAGGCCAGTTTTGTCTGGTGTAATGAAGTGCCTTTGCCCGACTGTCCCATTCACACAAAAAACAGCAAAACTTTGTGTAGCCTAGCTGCAGCCCAAGTAAAAGTGCAACAACTTTCAAATCGCCACAAATATGCCATTGGTGCTCATCGTATTTTATGCATGTCAATAGGTACTTCATATTGTCATATGATTCGTTCATGTGAACTGCATACCCTACATGAAGAGATGGTAAAATATTTCCAATATGCAATAACACTGCCTTTAAACTCAATGTTGAAATGTCTATAAACGATCTCCATTCTTCTGGGTTATAGTTTATATTTAAAAAAGACATACCGAAACATCGTCTTCTAACAAGTTCCACTGCTGCAGTCTTGATCCAAGTAACTCTGCCTTACATTTTGGAAGTTCTAAATCTCTTACAAGATCATTTAATTCTGACTGTATTATTTTGTGCGGTTGGTGGCATGACGTGCTCGGTATAAAATCAGGATCTCTTGACGTTGATGGCATATCTTCTTCCTGACGAATCACTCGATCGCCATGATCTGATTCGCAAGTGTAGGATTCTGGGGGTTTTGGAATAGGATTTTCATCACTGTGAGGCACAGGTCTCATCGCAGATGGTATGTTTGGGTAGTTAATAACCGATTTTTTTTTCTTGGACATACCTGTGGCTTGTCCAACACAAGGTACCATGCAAAAGTAACAATCATTAATATGATTTGTAGGCTCTTTCCAAACCATTGGGACAGCAAAGCGCATAGACCGTTTTTTGCCATTTAACCAGCTCCTCAGACTTGAAGCACATGTATTACAGCAGATGTGGGGTGCCCACTGTTTGTCTTATCACCTAGTTTACAACCGAAATAAAGGTGATATGCCTTTGTTATTAGTGGAGTAATAGACCGTCTCTGAGACGCAAAAGTCACATCACCACACACGTAACAAAACTGATCTGGATTGTTTACACACTTTCGAGACATCTTGCATGAACGCTGTCAGCCAACTGAGGAAAAAATGGCTAATATAAAACAATATAATGTACACGTATGTATAACGTAACACAATCATGCCGTTTACATCATCTTTCCTTGCTGAATATAAAAATGTAGCACGTGTGCATTCTTGTGAATTACAGTATATTAACACTGTCACAGCAGGAGCACATATAATTACCGTATCTCTAAAACTTGAACTAATATTGAAAAAATAAGTTTCATTAATTCATTAAAAATAGTAATATTTTGTTGATTTTATTTAGGATATTTTTTGGCTGTTGATCAGTGAATTAGCAACTACTTCGGACGATTCGTTCTGCTCCACTGAATCATCCGTAATTTGTTATTTGCTGTCACATTTTCACGTATCGAACCGTGGTGATAGTATATTTTATCAATTTGCAACTATATGTTCACTGGCCTCTAATCTATTCCCAAGGAACCATAAATATTTATATAAAGACGTAGGGCATAATGAGTCAATTCTAGAACCAACAATCCTTACTAATACACTGAAACACGCTAGTAATTATTGTCCTTACAGTGATTAATTCTCGGTATTTCTAATACAGAGATCAAAACAACACGATAGCAGTAAATTAGTAGGTCTATCGGAATTAACAGATAAATCAAGGATCGTAGGGATATAATTTCGATTCAACCAGATGCCCTTCAAATGAGCTTACCATGGAGCCATCTGAAAAAAAACATAAACCAATAGTCACGCATCTATTGTCTAAACACTTTAATAATATTATTATGGTTAGTACGTAATAGTAGGAACTCTATTAACGTTTGGCAATTGCCTATACTATACTAAGTGACATATAAATCCGAACACCCAGTTTAAATGGTTTTATTTTAATAAAATTTTTCACTGCTTTAAAGCCCTTTGACCTTTAATAATGTGTGGATGCACCCTGATGTGCTACGCATTCTCCAACGCGCCTAGGCATGCTTCTGATCAGGTGGTTAATGTCCTCCTGTGGTATCTCATTCCAGGCAGCCACCAACTCCTCTCGAAGTGCTTCTAGAGTCTGAGGAGGACGTTGCAAATTGAGCAATCTCCTACCCATCATATCCCACACGTGCTCAATTGGGGATAAGTCGGGAGATCTTGGTGGCCATGGTAACAATGTGACATCATTATGTTGAAAGAAGTGACTCTTGCAACATGTGGTCGGGCATTATCTTGTTGGAAAGCTGGATCTGCCAGGGTGTCAAGATAGGATAAAAGATGGGGTTCTAGAACTTCGTGGATATAACGCTGCGCGTTTATGTTACCTCTGATGAAGATTAAAGGTGACCTGGAACCATAAGCTATAGCACCCCAAACCATAACTCCAATAGTGTGATGTACATGTCTTTCAACAGAAAACTGTGGATTCCTCCTTTCACCACGTCGCCTTCTAACCCTGGCACGACCATCGTGCATGCCTAAACAAAATCGAGACTCGTCACTAAAGACAATACTGTTCCATTCCTGATCTCAGGGTGACCGTTGTCTGCACCACTCAAGGCGATTACGTCGGTGTTCTCGAGTTAAAGGGAGGACCCAGTGTGGCCGGTATGAAAACAAGCCAAAACTTCTCATTCGTCGGTAAACACTTCGCATGCCAATAGGTCTTCCGTATTCTGCAAACCATTCATTTGCAATGGACCTGGTAGTGGAGAAACGGTCCCTTAAGGCCAATAATCTTAGGCGGCGATCTTCACGGTCTGTTGTTCTACGGCGGCGTCCAGTGCCCCTTGCTCTTTGCGTACGGCCTTCTCGAAGCCATGCCTGACAACACCTAACCACAGTGTCTACACTTCTTTGCACTCTAACTGCAATTGCCCGAAAAGAAAGTCCAGCTTCCCGAAGTCCCACTATACGGCCCCTATCAAACTCACTAAGTTGACGAAATCGTACAGGTCTCCGTACTCTAGGAATCGTAACCGATCGTAAAGGATGTCAAGAAACAAAATCCGCCAACGTTGATTCTTTACTGCGGCTGAAATGTTCATTTTTAGAGCGTTAGTGAATTAAAAAAAAGCAGTATAAAAACCGGAATGTCCAACTGATAAGGCTGAAAATTTTTTCACTTGTTATTTACAGTAAGATAAATACATTCACCAACTTTTATTAAAATAAAACCATTTAAACTGGGTGTTCGGATTTATATGTCACTTAGTATAATACCAACAAAATTTTACTGTTTTTTAAAATAGTTTAAAATTGTGTGCTTTAACTGTACCTTATACAAGATGGCAACACGTGTTCCCACCTTGGCACTAAGGTTCCCTAGTCTATACAGGAACCCGTTAATCTCTGAAAATTTAAAACAAATGTTTGAGTTGCCATCTCACTGTCAGCTGGGTGTTATGGTATTAACTATTTGAAACGCTGAATGACATTGCACATCCATATGTCACTCAAACTGTTAGACATAAAAAATGGTCACGATATTTCTCACGTATCTTACTGATATATGCACATTGCACGGGGAAGTGCTATCGAATACTTTTTAGTTTTGATTTAAATGGTCAATTCGACTCATCGATTACCAGAACTTTTGCGATCATAATGCGAGGGTGGTCCCAGGAGTACCCGACCCAACGGAGAAAACACAAAAATTCGCGGCACCCATCTAGCACACAGCTTTCTCAAGTCGAAATTTTCAGATAATATGCGATGAACCGCACTTTTTGAAATGACTACTATGTCTGCTAGCTCGCGCACTTTCAGTCGACGATCATTCAGTACCGCCTTGTGAATTTTCTTCACCATTTCTGGAGTCGTCACCTCATTTGATCGACCACTGCGATGTTCGTCTTGGCAGTTCATACGGCCTCGTTTAAACTCTGCTACCCAATATTTTACTGTTGTAAACGAAGGAGCAGACTCACCCCGAGTAGAATCCAGTTCAGCATTTATATTGGTTGGGCTGAGGTCTTTGAAATAAAAGTATTGTAGTACATAACGATGACCAATTTTCTCCGTTTTCACAAATTCACTGAAAATGTTCAATATTGATGTCTGCCAAATAAATACTAAACAACGTGGCGTCTTCAAACTTGACACATATGCTTCATAGGTTGCATACTTTCTAATACAATGATATTTGTCACACAACTATCGCCGTACTTACTTACCCGTTTAAAACTATTTGAATCAGCATTCGTACCAAAGCTCATTCTTCCGCTTTACTTTGTGCCATCAGAAATCTTCATTCATCTAAACAAATATGATCACTTGTTTCTGTCGACAGTGTCTATCATGCTCATGTTGACAAGATATCTATCTGACATATTCAATTTTCAAATAGTTAGCATAGCTTTCCAGAGCATTGAAAGGATTGACTGACGTCGCATCTGCTTGAAATCATGTCGATGACAACAACTGTTTTTTATCGCAAATCAAAATAAGTATATAAATAGAAGAGAAATATTTGTGCAGATGATGAGACTAAGAACTTGTTTCTTATAAATATCTCCAAAAATAGTAAACGAAAAGCTACATTCAATAGTATGAAAATAATATTTAAGAAAACTCGACGGCATTGGCGGGGCTAGTACTTGACATGCTAAAAAAATCCGATAAATATTTTGCGCCAAATCTTTTAGGACAAACGTTATATGGTTCTTGAAAAAAAAAATGATTCGGCATGCTTCATACAGGCAAAAATCGCTAAACTAAGAGCCAATTGAGATACCTGGACTACGGATACGGATTAGGCGCATCAAAAACCTGGCCTATCGCCGGGATTCGAACCCGCAAACCTTCGATGCACGCACCTGGCTACACAGCTCCAATTACGATACATAAATTTATACAAATTTCTCTTTCCTTTTTATTACCATTGTTGTCAGCCGTACTTTACAAATATTCTCAATCTATCTTTGAACGTATTCTACGACATGACTATGATAAGGGTTAAACGTACAGACTTATTGAATACCAGAACGGAAAATGTACCACCCACTGTATTCTGGAACGTGGCTATTGTCCAAACAACCAAGTTACCTGTTGACCATTACTCAGCAAGTCGTCGGTATTCTTCTATCTAACGACACGGTAATGCAATATCATCAAGCGATTAATTTCGGCTTGAATAACTCTTGTGCACTGAAGGGATCACTTATCTTAGGGTAAAACAGTAGCTAAGAGGCTCTGATGTTTGGTTTAATGGACAGACTAGTAAGCGGATTATTTGGAAAAATTCTTCGTATTGAAGAGTAAAGGGTATGCGGCCTTCTTATATAGACATAGAGGTATATTTTAGTGGATTCTAGCATTGGAAATGTCCAACCATAGCTGTGCTGTATTTGCACGTTCATATACTTTTAGGAAGTTTTCAGTAGTAAAAAATTCCAATAGATTTAGCAGTACAGTAGAACCCCGATTATCCGAAATAATATGGACCCCAGTGCTAGTGCAAGTAATAAATATTGAGACTCATAATGCTTTTATTGAAAAAAGTAAATGCGTGTGTTAAGTGAGTATATACCTATATAAAGTTACGTAAAACATAAGCATGTGGGTACAAACATACATATAGTCAACGCCAAACAAAGTGGCGTGCACGTCATCAAGGTGGGTGTGTTGAAAAATTTACATTGTTGCCAAACTTTTTGTAAAATAATAAAATTTATTATTTACATATCTAGGTTTATAAGCAATATTAACCTCAAATGAGAACAAAAGTAATATAGAAATAGTATAATAAAATTATAGATCTGTACTTGCATAATCATTAAGTATGACAATTATTGATCAGATGACACTATGAAACTACCATATTTAATTGATAGCTTAAAGGTACTGAATAAAAATCCAAATGGGGTCCTCCAAATTTTATGCATAGTATTTATTTTACAGAATTCATACAGAAAAATGCATTCTAAAATTAGGTAAGCTACTGGTGTAAGCTTTTTCTGTACAATAAAGTTAGTCGGAGTTTCTTTCTTCAGCGCTGTCTGAATCTGAATCTTCATCACTCTCAAAGTTGATTATTAAAGGTTCGATGTCTGGTCGATCAAAAATTCGTTCTCTTTCATACCATTTAAAAATTTCTTGCTCAGTATGTCGAACACTATTTTTCCACATGTCTGGGGTAACCGTTTGTAGAGCCTCGTTCCACATATCCAAACAGTCTTTTTCACTGTTACCATCTCTACCAATATGTCTGTTATAGTAACCTTTTGCTATGCCCCAAATTAACTCAATAGGGTTAAATATACAATGGTAAGGAGGCAGACGAAGAACTTTGTGCCCATGTTGTTCCGCCAATTCATCAATCACGTATATTTTAGGTGGTTTGTTTCTAAAAAAGCAGTTATTTTAAGAATAGGAATAAACAAAAGAAATATAAACTGTCGACCAAAATATATATAATTAAGAAGCATTATGTACCGAGCAACAATACTCAATAGCTCTGTTTTAAACATTGTGTTTAAAAATGGTATGTTTTGATTTGTCAACCAGTCTTGGATATTTTTTTTTGTCCATGCATTGTTGGGCACTTTGTTCAATATCATGCTGTGATAAGGGGCGTTATCCGGTATAATCATAGATGGACTCTCCAATTTTTCTAATAACTGATGTTGAAACCATTTCAAAAAATTGTCCTGGTTCATCTCTCCATGGTAATCGCTCAATTTTGTTTTCGAAGAAAATATCGCTTCACTACCCCCAATAAACCCATTTTCATTTCCAGCATGTAATATAATGTATCTAAAATATATTAGTTTTAAATTTTATAGTGCAAATTGTGTAAAAGTACATACCTTTTACCATCTGTTTTAATAGCTTTCACGCTTTTTTGGTTTCCATTTTGCCAAGAGCGACCTATGGTCCCATTTTGAAATATCCAAGTTTCATCGAGGAAGACAAACTGGTATAAGGCCTCAACCTTGGCTTGATTGTATTGCCTTAGAAATTCCACCCTTTTCAAAGCTATACTTGGTAGTTCCATGAGCCCTCGTCGCGGATTGTCCTTAAGCCACTTAAATCCAAGATCTCTAAGCAACCGCCTTAAAGACGTGGCACTACCATCAAATGATGCCCTATCTCTTAATCGAGACCATAAAGTTTGTATCGTAACTTGTTCTTCTGAAACCATGTATAATATGACATTATAATTTAGTTAACAAATTAATGCAAATTTCTGATAAGTTATTATAATAAGATCTTACTTTTGTGATACATATTATAGATCACTTCTCGAATGGCTCTTGTATCCAATGTCGCTGTGTTGGTTACACGTTTAATATAACTCCGCTTTTTCTTGGGCGATTCTAAATTTGCATCACTTTTCACACCCTCGGAAATACGACTAACTGTCCTTAAACTAATTTTTAAAGCAGCAGCAACACGCTACAAAAAATGAAATAAAATTTCACTATTATTAATATACATTACATATAATTATTAGTAACCTACCTCTTGAACAGCATTTAAAGGCAACAAAGGCCCTTTGTTGTCCCTTTCTTGCTCAAAGTAGTGCATTAACGAGGCCACGAGTTCCTTACACCGACTATTTAACTGTTTGGGCATCTTTATATACCAAAATTGCCTTTATCTACTCGTAAAATGAATAATTTTGTTTTGAAACAAACAGTTGTTGATTTACAGTATGCGGGGCCAAAGGATTTATAAAGATTTGAAATGCCACAAATTGATTCAGTGTCAAAATTAATACAAATGTCAGTTCCCAGTTTAAATAAGTTTCAAGGTGACAATGTGTCAACGCTGCGAAATCGGTTTAGTGCGTTTACATGTCGATAAGTGATTGGAGCGTTTGCAAAACATTTTATTTCGCATAATGCGTCTAAATTTATCAGAAAGCAACTTATGTGATATTTTAATAACAATGTTTATATGACTATTAACCATAATAAGAGAGTAATGACCATTTTACAATTTATATATCACATTAATATGAAACTGCAATAGAGCAATTGTTTGTGGTAGAAACCTAGGCATTAGGTCGGGGAATTTTTATCGTCATGACGTGCACGCCACTTTTTTTGGCGTTGACTATATTTACGAGTATTTAGTAACAAAGGAAGTAATTTTTAAATGTACACGTTTGGCATTGTTCCTATTTTTGCCAGCAATATCCTTCCAACGTTGGATAAGTAGTACATCAGCCACTGTTGCATTTTCTTGTTGTTCGACGTAAGTCAATGCCTTTTGTAGCATTTGTCTTTACATTACGATGTCAAAATTTTATTAAAATAAGTAATTATTTGTTAATCCTGACTTTTACTACTTCATTTACTGATACTTTTATTTGGTTGGATTAATCTATTTTATATCACTTAAAAATTAAACCAGAAAACGTCAAAAAAACTAAATTCAAAGTTTTATTATGAAAATCTTATTGTTAATGAATTGTTATGGCAGTCAAGTATTTTTTGACTGCTACTTGTCACACTTAAAGAACAGAGCGTTCATCACAAAAATTAACCTCTTGTCAGTGAGAGGCCTACCGGAAAAACATAACGCCCCTGTCTTTTTTTCTGGGAAGAAGTCGTTATCTTAATAAGTGGAACTGTTTATTTCATCACACATTTATCAAAGCGCAGGTAACAGTCCTCTCAACAGTCCCACCCTAAGAACCCAAACAGACCATCAAATTTACGATGGTGTTATTAAAGCCACATGATTATCTCCAATGTAAACTTTAGGCATCAAATATAAATCACATTTAGCTTTATTGCAAAGGAACTAGGGGCGAATAATAGAGCTTGAACAACCTGAACCACCGCGTTATTGTATATTTAAAGAAATAACCTTGAACGCCACTCACTTTTCTCAGTCTTCTAACAATGGTTTGTAAACGCTGGGCGGTTTATGGTATTCCACTAACAATCATGTCACAGGACGCCGGTTGGGGCAGTTGCGTCTCACTTTATTGTCGTGTAGTTATACATCCAACACGGAACAACCATCGACACACTTATCGGGCTCGTGGAATCTTTGCTGGATTCTTTTTACTCTTTTACAGACGTGAACTCAGCAATGTTGCATCTACTATTCATGGGTAAATTGGTAATACTGAAAATTGAAACTTTTTAAAAATGGCTTCAGAACAAATTCCGAGTAATTATCTTCTGTTGCTGTTTTGAACCACCCCGTATAGCAAAAGATACAACCAAAGTATTATAACGATATTAACCAGGGGTTAAGTTCTGCACAGCTGCAGAGCCGCCAAAACTTTTGTCTTAACAGAAAAAAGCAGTAGTAATTTGATCATTATTTTCCATGTTATTACACAAATAGAAACAATACCGGCAACGCTGCCCCCGCAAGACACTGCGTCGAGTCTGTTTTGTATTGAGAAATCATTATAATCGACCAATTGTGTACTTGTCATTTACGTCGCGACCGCAGCTTAACATTATTCATGGGCCACTTGAAAAGGGTCTGTGCACTATTTCGACACAAGCCGCACGCGCTTGCTTTTGTCTCTCTCTACAAAATCAAACGCGCGATTTAAGCATAAGTAAGCGTGTGCTGCACGTTATACAGATCCGTACAAATCTAATGCGAAGTACGATATCGGTTGGTGCTCGGAAAATTTCAACGGGAAGGCGATCGACACATTTGCTGCCAAGAAGGAGCGCATGATCGAACTGACATATAAAAAATAGGTAAGTTCGGATTTGCAAAACACCTGTTTTATTTTGCCACGAGCTGCCACTGATATTAACTAATTTCATCAATAAAATCAATATTCCGAATAAGACTCAAATCCTGGCAATTCTGCATTAGCATTGCCTTTGCTTTAAACAATGCAGTTTTAGCTTTAGTTTCCACGCAGCAAACCAAACGACTAAAACAATATCTAACAATAGTCTTTCAATACAAAATGGTAAGAAACAAAAGCCTACAGAAAAGCAGTCGAGCACAACAAGCTGAAGACTTTGCGTCAAAGGCCACCACCTGAGAAAATTATTACGCTGCTTCTTCAGTTGTCTTCTATTTGCTCATACCTCCGATAAAATGTATGTTTAGTGCTTTAAAACTTGTATACAGCAGATCTGATCTAAATCATGCAGTATATCATGTACATAAAATTGTTAAATTAATAAGTCACGCACATATATACAGGGTGACTTCGAAGTTGAGTCATTTATTTTAACAGTGAGTAGATCTGATCAAAAGAAATGTTTTTTCCTTTACCATTTTTCTGGTAAAATTAAAGTAACAAAGTTATAGCCCTTTGGAAGTTTGAGTCTCAATAATAATATTATGTGCTCGTGTTTGGTAACAACGGATATAATCCGCCTTATCGCTTCATCGCATCGGAAACAAAAAAGCGAAAGAATTTGGAACGATGTTTTTACAATTATTTTATTCAGTTGTATACAGTCAGTGCAGTCGGTAACGCGTGAGTGAATAGTGGTGTCTGTTGCGTGGCTCAAACGAAATCAAAAATGGCACATCACGGATTTATGCGGATCGTTTTCCCAATCGAGTGCAACCAACCCCTCGTGCCTTTGTTAATGTAGTACAAAGGGCTCGTGAATCAGGTGACTTAAGACCTCACAGGGGAGGTCATGCCGGTGCTCCAAGACCGCACGATCAAATACAGGTCCGCACTGAAATAATAATAATAATAATAAATGTCTTTATTAATCAGAATACATCAGTGAGGCGAAGTTTAGCCAAATGGCTACTCTTACACTTAACCTCACTGTGTACGAAAGAGTAACACTCGATACACAAACAAACAAAAGTAATAATAAGAAAAAGAAACAAATGCACACTATTAATATCCCATCAGCTGTTTCTTAACGAGTCTCCTGAAAGGCACTATTGTTTTACTGCGACATATTTTATCTGTAGAGTTGTATAACTTGACAGCATGAAATGTGAAGCTTTTCTGGAAAAGGGCCGTATA